GAGGAGGAGGAGGAGGAGGAGGAGGAGGAGGAGGAGGAGGAGGAGGAGGAGGAGGAGGAGGAGGAGGCGCACCACGCCTGGCGCTGCGCTCGCGGGGGCGGGCTCAAGGCGCGGAGCAGGGACCTGGAGCGCGCTTGGGCCCGTATCCACGCGGAGTGCGGGTTCCATCTGGAGCGCTAAACCCACGTCCCGGCCTGGAATCGCTGGCGCTGGACCTGCCCGCGCTGCAACCAGGGCGGGACGACGGCGGACCGGCCGGCGGGCCCGTGCGCCACCTGCGGGTCCGGGCTGCGCGCGGAGCGGGAGGAGGCCATCCTCGACATCGAGATACAGCGGGCTGACTGCCCCCGCTTGTACTTCGACGTGACGGTGCGCTATTGCGTGCCAGGGGACGCCGACGGCCTGGCAGCGGCGGCAGGACGCAACGGCGCGGTCAACGCCGCGGCGGAGGCCGAGAAATGCCGCCGCTACCCGCCGGGCCGGACCCCGTGGGGCATGTCTGGCGCTCGAGACTGGAGGGCGGCACGGGCCGGCAGCCCTCCGGCACCTCCGCGAGCTGGCCCGCGGGGAGGCGGCCCTCCTGGGCGACGACGAGGCCGCCCCGGCAGTCGCTGGCGCCCTGCATGATGGCCCGGTGGGGCCGGGAGCTCAGCGTGGCCCTCCACCGGGCCACCGCCCGCCAGCTCAGGACGGCGCTGGGCGCGGACAGCGCCGGCGCCGGGCGGGCGGCCGAGCTCCGGGCGGCTGCAACGGCCTAGCCGGGCGGGAGCTGGACCAGCCGCCGGCCGCTGCTCGCGTTCGCCGACCGGGAGAAGTACCTTGTCGCCGCGCTCCCCGTGGAGTTCAGGGAGAGTGTGGGCGCGGGACAGACTGTGTCCGCCGCTCGAGGAGGAGAAGGAGGAGGAGGAGGAGGAGGAGGCGGAGGAGGAGGAGGAGGAGGAGGAGGAGGAGGAGGAGGAGGAGGAGGAGGAGGAGGAGGAGGAGGAGGAGGATGATGTGGAGGAGGAGGAGGGAGGAGGAGGAGGAGGAGGAGGAGGAGGAGGAGGAGGAGGAGGGAAGACGAGGAGGAGGAGGAGGAGGAGGAGGAGGAGGGAGGAGGAGGAGGAGGAGGAGGAGGAGGAAGGAGGAGGAGGAGGAGGAGGAGGAGGAGGAGGAGGAGGAGGAGGAGGAGGAGGAGGAGGAGGAGAGGAGGAGGAGGAGGAGGAGGAGGAGGAGGAGGAGAGGGAGGAGGAGAGGAGGAGGAGGAGGAGGAAGGCGAGGATGGCATGGGAGGCCACCACGGGTTGCCACAGAGCCCTGGCGCAGCCGACCTCGAGGCTCCGCCAGCCCGCCTGGGCGCGCCGAGGCCCCGACCCGCGGAGAGGCCTCGGCGACAAGGCGGCTTCGCCCTCCTCCTCCTCCTCCTCCTCCTCCTCCTCCTCCTCCCTAGGTGTTGTCTGCCGCTGCCCGCTCAGGCCTGTCCCGTTCGTCTTTTACCTCCTCCTCCCCGTTAACCGTCTTCAACCTCCTCCTCCCCGTTTCCCGAGGCGGGGGCGCAGGCCGTGGGAACCCGCACCGGTGACCTCAGTAGGCTTCCGGAGGCCGCGGACAGGTCACCGAGGCCGGGGGCCTCCTCAAGGTCACCGAGGTCCAGCCGGGTGACGGCTACTTATGTAAATTCTACGTAACTTCTGTGTCCCCCGCCCCTCCCACCTGCATCGGGAATTCAACGGGGTACGCCGATCGGTCGAGTTGGTGGTTGGATGAAACACAACCCGATTCTGCCTAGGGCGCCGATTGATGTCCCCGGAGAGGCTGCCGGGGACATGATTTTCGGTGTGCGGGTCCTTCCGTGCACTTTGGTTGCGGCTTATTCGGGAGCCGAATTTCGTGACAATTTCGTTGCGTCGGGCTCCTCTGGGTTAGCCACCAACGGATGCTGGAACGCAGCGCCGGGGGACCGACAGGAAACTGGTCCGTCGGTGTAGTGAAAGTTAGTCCTGGAGGTTTTGGGGGGGTGTGGCGTATACACAGTCTCGGAGTCGAAACTGTGCATGCTGGTTTGTGGGCCCCGATTTGCAGGAATCCCGCCTCAGGAGTGAGAGGCATCGCGGGCGGCATCGACACTCGGAGTGCCCCCCCTCCCTCTCGCCCCTCCCCTCGGCGAGGGCCGTCATTCGGCCTCGTCGGTGAGGACCGTCATTCGGCCTCACACCCCTCGCAGCTTCCATCAATGGGGTTGCGAGGGTTCCCGCTCCCACCAGTCAACCTTACATTTTGCCGCCAATAGGCGCCGGAGGGGGCCGAGGACCCCCGTGCGGTCCCTCGGCCAACGAAAACGGCCGTATGGGGGGGGGACCCGTACCTCCATCTCAAGGCATTCGTGCCGCCACCTACCATTCCAGGCACCAGTTGCCGCCCACCACATCTATCCTCCTTTGGGCCGTGAGCGGGATTTATTTCCCTGCCGGCTGATTGTGCCTGTCAGTGTCAGTCAGCCTTTACGTTTTGGCTTTTCGGCCACCCCAGCAGTGCACCAAGGGTGACGGTTCGACCCGTGCTGTGGTGGCACTCGTGCGGTCGTGTCCCTCTCCCCGCCCACCTAGGGTGATGGTTCGACCCGTGCTGTAGTGGCACAAATGCGGTCGCGCCCACTCCCCGCCAACCAATCGAGAAAACCTACCTCCAGGATCCCTTGGGGCCACAAATCTACGTTTGACTTCAGTCTCTGCCCCCCTCCCCTCTCTTCCCCGTCCCCGCTCTGGCCCCTTGCCCGCCTCTTTCGTTCCCCCCCGCTTTCCTGGTTCCCCCTCCTCCCTCCTCCTTCCCCCCCCTGCCCCAGTTGTTCCGGGTGCGGAGCGCAGGCTTGTTTTGCGGTGTGACCTATAAGCGGGGTGCCCCCCGTCAAAACAGATGCCTGGGCGCCCGTGCCGCCGCTCTCCTCCCCCTCCTCCTCCTTGCGCCTCCCTCCTCCCTAGGTGTTGTCTGCCGCTGCCCGCTCAGGCCTTTCCCGTTCGTCCTCAACCTCCTCCTCCCCGTTCGTCTTCAACCACCTCCTCCCCGTTTCCCGAGGCGGGGGCGCAGGCCGTGGGAACCCGCACCGGTGACCTCAGTAGGCTTCCGGAGGCCGCGGACAGGTCACCGAGGCCGGGGACCTCCTCAAGGTCACCGGGGCCCAGCCGGGTGACGGCTACTTATGTAAATTCTATGTAACTTCTGTGTCCCCCGCCCCTCCCACCTGCATCGGGAATTCAACGGGGTACGCCGATCGGTCGAGTTGGTGGTTGGATGAAACACAACCCGATTCTGCCTAGGGCGCTGATTGATGTCCCCGGAGAGGCTGCCGGGGACATGATTTTCGGTGTGCGGGTCCTTCCGTGCACTTTGGTTGCGGCTTATTCGGGAGCCGAATTTCGTGACAATTTCGTTGCGTCGGGCTCCTCTGGGTTAGCCACCAACGGATGCTGAAACGCAGCGCCGGGGGACCGACAGGAAACTGGTCCGTCGGTGCAGTGAAAAGTTAGTCCTGGAGGTTTTTGGGGGGTGTGGCGTATACATAGTCTCGGAGTCGAAAATGTGTATGCTGGTTTGTGGGCCCCCGTTTGCAGGAATCCCGCTTCAGGAGTGAAAGGCATCGCGGGCGGCATCGACACTCGGAGTGGCCCCCTTCCCTCTCGCCCCTCCCCTCGGCGAGGGCCGTCATTCGGCCTCGTCGGTGAGGACCGTCATTCGGCCTCACACCCCTCGCAGCTTCCGTCAATGGGGTTGCGAGGGTTCGCGCTCCCACCAGTCAACCTTCCATTTTGCCGTCAATAGGCGCCGGAGGGGGCCGAAAACCCCACTACGGTCCCTCGGCCAACGAAAACGGCCGTGGGGGGGGGACCCGTATTTCCATTTCAAGGCGTTCGTGCCACCACCTACCATTCCAGGCACCAATTGCCACCCACCACATCTATCGTGCTCTTCCTCCTCGTCGGCTTCCTCCTCCTCCTCCTCCTCCTCTCCTCCCTCCTCCTCCTCCTCCTCCTCCTCCTCCTCCTCCTCCTCCTTGTCCTCCTCCTCCTCCTCCTCCTTCTGCTTCTCCTTCTCCTCCTCCTGCTCCTCCTCCTCGTCGGCTTCCTCCGATCCTCCTCCTCCTCCTCCTCCTCCTCCTCCTCCTCCTCCTCGTCTTCCTCCTCCTCCTCCTCCTCCTCTCCTCCTCTTCCTCCTCCTCCTCGTCTTCCTCCTTGGCCTCGATCCATAATTGCCGGGGTGTCTCCAGGGATAGGACGTTCGGGGTTGGGTGGGGGTCTCTCCAGACGCCCTCGCGTCGTGAAAAAAATCCTGACGGGAGGTACTGGGCTCTTCGGCCACCAGCAACGACTCAGCACGAAAAGCCCGTCCTGGGGAATGGGTCGAGACATCTGGGGTTCGACGTTATGACGTCGAGTGTCTGGGTCTCTAGGCCTCCCAGATGGGGTCGGAGTAGATGGGTTCGGAGGGTCGCGCCGCATCGCCGATGCATCGCCGATGCGGCGCGATGCAGAGCCTGACTTTCTCCACGCCGACGGCGCCGACGCATCGGCGACGCGGCATGATCCCCCGACCGCGCCTGTTCGGACCCCATCTCGGATGCTCATAGTAACGTTCGGGGGTGAAGGGGTTAGGCTCCGGGAAGGATGCAGGCTCAGGTTTTTTCGCATGTTTCCGCCAGTTCTTGGAGGTTTCATGCCTTGCGCCTTTCTGAGAGGCGTCTGGGAGTGTCTGGGTCGTCCCCAACGCCCGCCAGATTAAGACACCTGATTGAGAAACCACCTCCCGAAAAATTGGGCCAGCGTTTCTCAACCAGCTTGCTGGACAGCTGGCTCAGCTTCTTGAGCGCGGTCGCCTCTCGAGCGTTAGCACCAGAGGTTGGCCCAGGCTTGTTTGAAGGCATTTTCCGGGAAACTGGTTTAGATTTCTTGAATGGTACCCCCAAAGAGGTCCCAGAGGGCCATCAGGGGCCCCAAGCGGGCCCTAAATTGCCCAAGCCAGTCCAACCCTGAAGTCATCCAGTGCTCTTCGACTGTTATTGGGAAGCCAAACTTATCGGCCGAAAAGGGCCTGCAGAGGGCCTTGGAGAACCCATGGGGCGTGTGAAGATGTCCCAGTAAAGCCCCAAGAAAGTCTCAATCATGGTCGGGACTTTTTGGGTACAGTGCCGCGCCGCCGGTTCTGGCCCACGCTTCGGCGCGACACGCCATCCGCTTCGCGGTGTGTCCAGGCGTCAATGTCCCGACCTCTGCCCCGCGGAGCGGAGCGACACCCGCTATCCGCTCGCAAGGCATAGCGTGTCGCCGGGCCCGCCGACATGACACGCCAAGCACCAGTTCCCGACTGTAGCTCAGGAGTTCTCCAACAAGGGCCCAAGAGATCCCCAAAGAGCTCCGGACAAGCCAAGCAGAGATCAGCCCAGGAGTCGGCATGCCAGAATCTAGTCTCGGACCCTCGCCCTGCCCGGTTTGTCTCCCTCTGCCGCCTGGGGGGGGGCCTCTGTTCGGGGCGAACCGTGGCACGCATGATCGCTCTCGGCGGCTTTCGGGGGGCGCGCGGAGGGGGGATGCCAGAGCTCGCAGGCCGTTGCTGTCGCAGCGCACGCCACGATCGGCGAGCCGCGCGCCAGAAGAAACTCCTGCCCGAGGCCACCTCTTGCGTGCAGCTGACGTTCGTGTGGGCTCGAGAGAGGGGGGGCGCTGCTCTCTTACGCGCGCTCGCTCGGCGCGCTGCCTGGTCTCTATCGCCAGCCCTTCCAATTAGTCGTGGTCGCTCTCCTCCTTCCTTCCGTGATCCGCCCATCCCTTGCTCCTCGTTTCGCCTTCTCTGGCCTTAGGCCCCCTCCGACTTCCTTCTCCCTCCTTTCACCTCCATCTCTTCCTTCCCCACCCCGCCTCTGCCTTTTTCCGTTGCCTCCTTCTCCTCCTCCTCCTGCTCCTCCTTCTCATTTCTTCTTCTTCTGAACTTCTCTCCTCTCTTCTCCTCCCCTCTTTTTTCCTCCATCCTCCTTCCTCTTTTCCCCTCCTCCTCCTCCTCCTCCTCCTCCTCCTCTTCCTCCTTACTCTTCCTTCTTCTCCTTCCACCCAGCCTCCTCCTTTTACTTCTCATCCTTCTCCTCCTCCTGCCTTTTCTTTTCACCTCTTCCTTTCACCTTTACCTCGTTCCTCCTCCTCCTTCTCCTCCTTTTTCCTTCTCCTGTTCCCCCCCCTGAGACGTTTCGAGACCCGAGGGCCTTTGTAATCGTGAGCTCTTCGAAACGGCCGTGCGATGACTGCTGTGTGGGCTGTCGCCGCGACTGGCAACGATGGGAAGCGCCCTGAAGAGGTCAAGGGCGCAGTCAGGGTTCAGGTCCTCTCATTCCCACATGCAGCAGAGTTCTCTGCCCGCTGTGCTGCCTCTCGATTTCCTGCTTTCCCTTCCATCGTCTACTCTGATTGCGCCAATGTGGTGCGCATCGGTAAGTTGTCGATCCCAGAGCGTTATTCGGGGAGAGCGTGCGTGTGCTGGAATGATGCTCCAGGCTTGCATTTCCGAAGAACGACCTGACCCAATAAGTGGCCAAGGTCAAATCTCATTTGGATTTAGAGGGCAGCAAGATCTTTGCCCGCGAAAGGTTTTCGAGGAATGGAATTCTCACGCTCGCGCTGGGGCCAAGCACGGGCTCCAGTTTCATCCGAGTGGCCCCGCGCGCATGACAGAAGTCGAAGAGTTAACAGCCACTGCCATAACGTTTGGCGTTCTAGCTAGCAGCTTGCTGCCGCTCTGGTCGACGCCCTCTCCCGACGTGCAATATTCTCCGCCTGTCCCTCCCCCTGTTCCTGCTGTGCCCCCCCCCTCCAGGTAGAACGCAGGTGGGAGACTTGGGCTGGCATCTGGAGAGGCGTGATATTCGGCTTCGCGGCAGGCGTTCGGGCACCGACCCGCCCCCCGGTCCTTGCCAAGACGGTTCTTAGCCCCACAGATCAAGGCGGGATGCCTTGAACCAGCGGACTGTGGCGTTCGCCTGCTCGGACTGTTCGGTGCTTTGTGTTTGCGCGCGGTGTAGGTGCCGCTCGACAGGTGGTCAGATTCGAGGCCTCGCTCTTCCTGGCAAAGTTCCGCCGTATTGCGCTGCTTATGATGCTTGGATGGCGCTGTGTAAAGGCCAGTGTCTACACTATTCGAAGAGCAATTATAATGCGGCTGTGGGCGCGGGCACCTTCATGCCCTGTTTCACCGCATATGTTGTCGAGGAGCCATTTCCTGACGGTGTAGCCCTCTTGGCCCCAGGTGTGGTGGGGCCCCAGGACCAGGTGCCGCTAGTGCGCACTAGGCTTCGCGAGAAGGACGAGGGCCGAGTTGCATGTTGTGTTCCTGATGGCTCAGGCTAACCTTCCCAGGAGAGGTTCACCTGTCTGAATCTTGTTGCCCAGCAGGCACGCTCGGCAATGGAAGCGTGAGATGAGAGAATCTCCCGCTCCGCATTCGCACTGGCGCGAGACCGCGGGATGAGAGCATCTCCCGCTCCACCACATGTGTTACTACTTGTTTCCGTGCGTGAGGCCTCTCGAGGCTGCCTGGATGTTTGGTTGTGCCCCTTGGCAGCTTCTTCGGGCTGATGGTAGGTGGACTGGCCGAGTCGTGCGTTTGTCTGCCGAGCCCCAGGCCGAGCTTGTGGCGAGGAATCCTACCTCCCAAACCGTGCTCCTTTCTCTTTTGCGCTTCTGGCCAGGCCAGTGCTGAGACCTTCGATCCGCAGCCATAGGCCCAGAAACTGGGCGCATCGTTTTGCCTGTCCTCTCGGCTCTCTTCTGGGAGCTGCTAGTGGTCAGGGCGGTCAGTGCTTCTCACCGTTTTGTTCTGAGGGGTTTGGCGCTCATCACCCCGCCCCTGTGTTTCATGCTGCCGCCGGCGGCGTCAAGAATATGCAGGCCCGGTGTTCTAGGCGCCGTCGCCTGGCTGCCACCCGCGCTGCTGGTTTTGTTGATTCAGCGGTGCCGCCCTTGAGGCCAAAACAAACTGCCCCACTCTGCTCCTCGCCCCTGTCCCCGTTCTCGTTCCATTCCTGTTCTCCCTCAACATTCGACGTCCTATGAACAAACATGAAAAAGCAGCGAGTCCCCCCAGAGGTCGGGACCCCCCCCCGGGCGCGTCGCCTGCAGATTTTCGATGGTCCTCGGGGCCCGGGTGCGGGCCCTGGAGGCAGAACATGTCAGGTCCACGTTGCGTCGTGATTTCCTACCTTCCCGCCCCCTCCTCCCCGCCCCCGCTCGGTCCCGGCCCTGTGGCCCACGCGGTGCTCACAGCCGCAGGGGCTGGACCAGCTTGCGGAGCTTCGAGACAGGAGACGATGCATCCCTCATCTTCCCGTTTTCCGATCATTGTGCCCTCTCCCCTCTCCCCCTACCCACCCCCCGTCCTCCTCCTCCTCCTCCTCCTTTTCCTCCTCCTCCGCCTCCGCCTCCGCCTCATCCTCCTCCTCCTCCTCCTCCTCCTCCTCCTCCTCCTCCTCCTCCTCCTCCTCCTCCTCCTCCTCCTCCTCACCTCCCGCATCTCGGCAGCCCGCGGCGACGGTCCGCGCGACCCCAGCGGCCGAGCACGACGAAACACATCGCGCCGCGGTTGCTTGTGCGCGGTGCGATGCGGCCAGGGCCCTTCCCGCTCCCCCTGTCCTCCCCCCCCCCTTCCCCTCTCTCCCCTCCCTCGCGCCCTGCCCCCCAGCAGTCCGCGGCGGCGCCGCGCGGGGAGCCGCGGGGCGCATGGCCCCCGCAGGCGCCGTCCTGCTACCCGAGGCCGCCTTTGTCGCGGGCGGAGAGGCTGATGCAGAAGTGGCAGTCCATGCCGACGCACAGGCCACCCCTTTTCCGCTTTCCCCGCCCCCCTTGCCGCACACCCTCGCTTCCTTCTCCCCCCCTCCCTCCCCGTCTCGCTTCTCCCTTGCTTCCCCGCCTCGCTTCTCCACGCTTGCTTCCCTTTTCCCTCCCCAAGGAAAAGCGGAACCTTTTCGAGCGTGGCTTCCATCCTCGCACAGGGCGGAAAAAGGTTGTCCTTGAGAGCTGGGCTCTCAAGGACTTTGGTTTTGTTCGCTCAGGCGAGTATTTGGTTGGCAGAAGCCCGCCCGCAGCTAGCTGGATCGTCGTCCATGGGGGAGCACAAAAACCCTTCTTCGACCTTCCGTTCCTCCCAACGTCCCTCGCGCCGCCTATTTACTCCCGTCCTCCCTTCCCCCCTCCCTCTTCGAGGTTTCCTCCACCACCGAGCCCATACTGGCGCACGGGCCACCGAGGGTGTTGTTCGGTGTGGCTGCGTCGCAATCCGTTGCGTCTGGTCGGTTCGGTTCGGTCGGCTGTCGCGTGTCGTTGCTGTGTCGCCGCGCCTTCTAGGCCGCTTGCGGCCTGTCGGCTTCACTGAACTGACTGACGAACGCAACAGTCATATTTACACATATGTACACATACATTTCGGACGTCCGCGGGTTTGGTGGGTCGGTGCGCTGGTGTGGGCCCCATGGCGGCGCCTTTGGCGCCGCCTGTGTCGCGCGCCAGCACAAGTTTTACGCGCGGGCCTCCGTCAGTTTACCTTTTTGTTGTCAGTTTTCATTCCTCTACTGAGTTGTGGAGCCAGGGATAAGGTCCAATTCGTTTTACAGTTAACGTTTTGGGATAAAAAGGTTCACGTTGGCTTCGGTAGCTCCATGGTCCTGAGGTCTTTCCACTGGTTTTCCTCTGGCGCTGTTCGTGCGTGTATGTCTAGGCGCAATTGGGGTCACAATGGGGCTTCGTTCCATGTGCATTGTGCCTCATGATAAACGTTGGCTGTACTCAACGGGCTTTGGCGGATGTTTTAACCCAGGAGTTTCCAGCGGGGCCGTCCACGTGCTGAGAAGGCCGGCTTCAGTCAGGCAATGGGGCGATATCTTAACTGCGGGCATCTCTAGTTTCTAATTTGCGTTAGTGAACTAGACCTTGAACTAACATCGTTTGGTTGGACTGGGTCAACCCTGCGTCAGCAGGGCATGACTGGAAGACTTGCGGCACGGTCGCACTTGTCTGCTTGGTTGACTGTGCTTCCACCAATGAAGGTTTCGTATAGTGCCATTTGTTTGATGATGATTTTTGTATCTGTTATTGGGTTTCCCTTTTGACATCATAATCCTGCCCTTTGCCGTCCACCCCCTTCTCTTTTTCCTTTCTCCCGCAGCCGTTGGCTTCAGCACGGCTGCGCTGTCTCTTGTTGCGGAGGGGTTTGCCCCTTTCCCCATTCCCTACCAGGCTTGCGATGTTCTTCTTGGGGGAATTCGTTGCTGTTCCACTGGCCGTGGCGTTCGCCGCCTGGGCGGGTCTCGCCACGTAACTGGGCTTGACCTCGGGAGCCGGGCCCTCGTCCCACCCAGCGGCGGGAATGGCGAGGGGCCCCACCCCAGTGGGGCATTTCCCTGAGGGTCCTGCTTAGGGCCCGAGGGGGGAGGACATCCCACGCCAACGCACCCCGTGGGGGACGAGGATGACGGAGGCACTCAGGAAACCCCCTTCGTCCTTATTCCATCCCGACAAGCGGGTGAGGAAGGAGGCGCCCCGCGCCGGGGGTCGTCCGTTCACGCGCCGCGGTGAAGGGGTCGCCCTGGCCAAGGAGGGGAGAGCCACACCGCGGGCGCAAGACACTCTCGAACAGGCCCTGGCTCACCCCGGCGAGCAGCGCCGAGCCCAGACATGTGGAGGGGACCTCGAGCCCCCCTGGTAAGGGAAGGGGAGCGCCGCCGGCAGGGGCGGGGAGGGGGCCCGCGACGAGCCCCCATGAGACCCGCCCGACAGGCGGCATGGGAGAGGGGCAGGCGTGCGTTGGGGTTCGACCCAGAGCGCCCGCCCACCAGCCGCCCGTGTGTTGCGGACCGCCGGGGTGAGGTGGGTGGGAAGGGTGGTTCCCGCAGGGAGGGGCCCTCTCCCTGGCCCCTGCCCTTCTTCGGGATGCGCGACCGGATGCCCCGGGCCGAGGCGGGGCCCCGCATGGAGGGGAATGCCTGGTTGGGGGGGGGCTCGCAGTACCCAGAGGCGGCGGGAGACCATTCTCGAGTTTCGGGAAACCTCCCAGGCGGGCTGGGGCTATTGGACGCTCATCAACACCCTGACCCTGCTGGACTGGCCGGCATACCGGGCCCTTGGGTCTTCCTGGACGTCGGCCGAGGACTTCACGGCCCAATTCTTTGCCTCCGCGGCCCTCGTCCTGCTCGTCGCCCTGGTGGGTGCCTCATCGACGGGTACATCCTGCGCCCGCTCTGCTACCTCTTATGGGTGGGCGCGGGAAAGTTCTCACCTCCGTACATGGGTCACAGTGGTGGGGGATGATCGGTTATCCTTGATGGAGCTGGGCTGGCGGGGGCCAATCGGGCGGCCTGTCGACGACGACTTCTACCGGGATGTGATCTGGGCCCAGGGGGACCGCCTGGGTACGGCTGGACCAGGGGCCCCACGGGGCCGCCACCCAGCAGGCGAAGCGCCGCGGCCAGGACTTACCAGTCGGGATCTTCGGGCCCGCTTAGAACGGGCGCCGGTACAGGTGGTGCACCTCTGCGGATGTGGGGGCGCCCAGCCCCGGGCCCATCCCCAGCACGCGCAGTCTGCCAGCGGTGCCCTTGGCCAGGAGAGGGGCCCGCGGTCTGGAGACCCATGGGGTCCCAAGGCATTGAGAGGGGCGCCCGCGGCCAATTGGATCGTTGTGAGCGGGGACAGCAGCCAGGGGTTCGAACCCATGGGTGGGCTGCTCGGGGCAGTAACCCAGGTGCCCACCTCCCCCACTGCTGGGTGGTGGACGGGCGCAGCGGGGTATGTGGTGGGGACGTTCGCCCGTTGTCTGCTACAAGGGTAGCGTCGCGGGGGGCGGACTGGGGACGGGCTGACCTGGCGTGAGTGGGTCCACTGGGACTCATCCCCAGGATTCCGTCAGTGGAAAATGTTCCCCCCCTCCCTTCCCTCCTGGAGTGCGCCGGGTGTCCCTGCCGGATTTGCTTTTTGTGATGGGCCCCCCCTTTAACAGCTTCATCCGGCCTTCTGCCGCGCGTCCTCTTCTCTCCTTTGTTTCTCCCGCGTTGGGTTCAGCACGGCTGCGCTGCCTCTTCATCCACCCGCCCACCCTGCAGTGCCCGGGGGCCCCGCCCCAAAGCGGGTGGTGGTCCAATGGGACTCATCCTTGGAAATTCGCCAATGGAAAATGGTTTCCCTTTCCTCTCCCTCCTGTAGTGTGCCGTGTGTCCCTGCTTTTTTTGTTTTGTTTCTCTCTCTATATCTCTTTCGTTTTTGCTGATCACCTATCTTCTTCTCTCTCCCTCTCTTTTTGTTTCTTCCTCCTTTCGGACGGAGGCCTTGCTCGAATCGCGAAAGATACTCCCGCCTCTTGTCAGGAATCTGGGGGACTCGCAAGGTCTGGCGAGATTCCGAGTCTGCGCAGAACCGTAAACCCGCAAGACTTACAATTATACGCCTTAGGTTTAGCATTCTCCAATATCTCATAAGAGCCATGTACCCGCCCCCATGCTGTATGGGCCCCTGTGCGAGGCTGATAAGTACCCCCCGACAGTGCAACAAGAGGCGCGCACATGGAGCCTATCCGCTCAGCTTGGTGGTCCTTGGTGCAGGAACTCCTGCATACCTGGCACGCGAGCCTATTGTCGGTGACGGTGTGCTCCGAGCCGAGCAAAGCGATGGCAGCAGCAGCGGCGGGGGTGGTGGGGGGGAGGAGGGGGAGGAGGAGGAGAAGGGAAAACAGTGGGAACGGCGGTGGCGGCTTTGGCTTCGGACCTCGGCGACCTTAATCTCCCTTTCGGCGATGGCAGACTCAAGTGTCGACCTCAACAAACGCTTCCTGACGAGAGCCGCTTTCCTTTCCCATGTGGTGATCTGAAACCTGGTCAGCTCGGAGGCGCGACGCTGGTCGGGTCGGCAGCGTGTCCCGCGAATGTGTCAACGTAAATGTTCCCCTCCACCATCCAACTCCTGATCCCTTCTCCACCATGTCCTGAGGACTGATATGCGACGGTACCCACAATACATTTGTACATTCAGCAGTCCTCTGGAGGAGGAGGAGGAGGAGGAGGAGGAGGAGGAGGAGGAGGAGGAAACCATACCCGCCTCGAGCGGTTGTGGCAGCGCGCCGACCTCCACATGGGGAGGATCGCCGCGACCTCATCCTTGCTTTGCCGACCGTGCGCAGCCGTTTCCCTTCACACAGTTCTTGTCATGTCGCAGTGTTTCCTCAACTTTCCTGACATCTTGGCGACTTTGCGACGGCATCGCAGCAGCTCAGCAAATCCAGAAAACGTTCATAACGGGATCGCAAGACTCATAGTCTTCGATCACTCAATCATACGCATGTTCCTAAATAATTTGTTGACGTTGAATGGGCTTCGCAGCTTCCCTGGCTCATCGCACGGCTTGGCATTCCGAGAGAGCCTTAACCTCTGCGAAGGTCTTTCTTCTGTATGTCAACTCTCATTTTCTATTCGTATGACTTCACATCCATTACCTCCGCCGGCTCAATCTATCCCCCGAGTCCAAGAATACGTGTATGATTCAACAAAGCCATCATAATCATCCGACAGTGGTTTTAAGTGGGATGCGTTGCCGTGCAAACCGTCAGACTATATCGCGCACATAGAAAAAGTGGCCACTCCAATTGACCTTGTTGACGTTCCCCCAGCGGGGCTGGTGTAGCTGGAGTTTTCTCGAATCCACAGGACGTTCCGACTCATGCGGAAGAAAATACGCTTCGTGATAATTCCAACAAGGAGTTAGTGCAGTTCATAGCACAAGGTAGACAATGTTCCGCCGAATGGAACAGTGCATGGGATCAATATTGTATTCGGAACCCTTCTTGCGAGCATCCGGACTTTGACCCAGGCGCGCACGGGGCCGAATTTCACAAAGGATTCTTAACCTTCAGGTGTGAGCATTCCCATAAACTCGCACAACTAGCCCAGGAGACCGACGACGCCGAATGATCGAGTGCACCATTTCAGGACCGAGCCCCGATTACTCCTTGCGTCCTCCGCCCGCTCCCGATTCCAGGCCGCCCCCCATCAGTCCGCAATGGCGCAGTATGGATGGGCGACCAAGGCCAAGTTCTCAAACGCATGTCAATGCGTGGCTGGCTGACCTTTGACTCTCGGGGCACTGTGATCGACATTGGTTGCGCATATACTGGCGCAGGAGATGTGATTTTCGCCTGGCGCTGACGTGGTGGCCAGGTCGGCGCTGGGATGGGGGTTTCCGCCTACTCGTTTGCGCGTCCCAGTGCCGCCTGGGCCGCATGTGGCTGGGGCGGGGGCGCCGCCTTCCCGCCTGCGGGCCCCAGCCAGTTTATCTGGACAACTTTGCCCGATCGCGCACATCTCACCCGCAGGTTGTTCATCCAATTCAGTCGCTTGGGGGTCCCCTTCCTGTTGTAAGTTGTATCTTCAGTTTGATGATTGATGTCCCTGTCTATTGTTTTCACAGGTACTGACTTGACGTATGATCAAATTATCCGCTCACGGTGTGTTCTTCTGTTGTGGCATGGAGGTGGAGGGGGGGCGGGGCGGCGGTGACGGACAGTGAATTGTTTCCCGCAGCACTTATTGCACAATGAACTGTACGTTAACACATGTGGCTTTTTTGGAGCGATTGTTTTCAGGCAGAGTAAGAGTAGCGCGATATCTCTTGTCACGTGTTGTCACATGTCTTTTTTTGTCACATGCGTGGTACGCACTGTATGTGTTTCGACCCTCATGTTACATGCGCGGCACGCACTGTGTGGTGGAAGAGACGGGGAGGAGGTTGTTGTTAGAGGTGGCGGCGGGGGAGAGTGTGTGAGGGGGAAGATAGAAACTGCCAGCGCCAGAGCTATTTTCACCCCCAGTGAGGGCGATCATATATTAGCCAGCTGTATTGATCAACGACGATAAGGTTACAGTGTGCTTCTGCCTAAGGCCAGCCGGTCTCACCTCGTTGACACCTCACTACGGCTCCGCCCTTGCACGGAACGGCACAGCTTGTTTTTCCATTGCTCATTGCAGCCTGTCAAGCTGGTGCCTATTCTGTAAAAAGGGATTGGGTAGGGGGCTTATCACTGATGTATGTGTGGTGGAGGAGTACACGAGCCTGTAGTCTAAGGCCACGATTCGGTGCAGCTGCGATATTTTACAGTGCCACATTGCCCGTGCCACAATTACGGCTGTCGGAACAGGCAAGCCTCTCGGGCCAGCCTAAGCATACTGCGCTTGGTAAGCCACGACGACACTTGCCATCAATACTAATGTTTATTCCTCTACCACTTACTGTTATTATTGCCGTTGCTATCCAACTACGGTGAGTGTCGTCACACCTGGCGGGCGCCTCCTTTCATTGATGTTCTTGTCATACGTTCGTTCTCTTTCATTCGCTGCGGCGCCCGCCTGGTGCTTTTTCCTTGACCAGTGCACGCCCAGGTTGGTCCCACATAAAAAGGAGGAGGAAGAGGAGGCGGAGGAGGAGAAGGAGGAGGAGGAGGAGGAGAAGGAAAAGGAGGAGGAGGAATAGGAGGAGGATAGTCATGATTTCGAGAATGAGGATGTGGACGAGGAGGGGGATGTGGAGGAGGAGGATTCGGAGGAGGAGGCGGAGGAGGAGGATACTCATGATTCCAAGGAGGAGCAGGAGAAGGAGAGGAGGAGAAGGAGGAGGAGCAGGAGGAGGTGTTTCGCCCCTGCTGGCCAGAGGCCGCAGCTCCCGTCGATCGACCTCCCCGATACGCCCGGCCCCCAGGCAGGCCAGGGCCCGCCCGCGATCACAGGCCAACGGCTCTTGCGCCCCGCCGGCCTTCCCTCCCTTCCTCCCCTCCCCCTCCTCCTCCACCTCCCACTCCCGCTCCCCTCGTCCTCGTCGTCCTCCTCCTCCTCATCCTCCTGCCCCTTCTCCTAACTCTTCTCGCCCTCCGAGGTGCGAGGTTGTCGGAGGTGCGAGGTTGTCGGAGGTTTTCGTGAATTCCCCGGGGTCGGGGACTCTAGTTATGACCCGAGCCAAACATCCACCGCCTCGTCAAAAATCGAAGCCGCCCGTTTGTCGCCGGTTTGCCCCCCTTGCAGGGAGAGGGAGGTCCCGAGCTGTGTGGGCCCTTGGAGCGACAGGGCATTTTTTCTCCAGTTCCGTTTCTCCGTTTTCTTGCCAGTCCCGTCGCCGTTCTCTCCGCGGTTTCGTCGTTGTTGTTCCCGCGGTGCTTGGTCTCCCTCTCGGTGAGCAGTTTTGCTTCAGCGTCCTCATGCTCAAGAGCCAGGCTTCTGGAAACAGTGAAGCAGCGGCTCTGCCGTTTTCAGGGCCCGTTGAGGTCTCGGGCCCCAGGGCTGTCAGGAGACGGCTCGGGAGGTAAGGCCGGCCCATGGCGAAGGGGTCGGGAGGTCTGTGGGCCCACGGCTCGAGCACAGGTCGAGGCGCCAGCTGTCTGGGCCCCCGGATCCCTGCTGTGCAGTTACACGATATGAATACGACTCTCTGTAGACCCCCCCTCTGTACCCCCCTCCCTCTGTAGACACCCCCGTCTATAGACCCCCCTCTGTAAACCCCCTCCCTGTAGATCCCCCCCTCTATAGACCCCTCCTCTGTAGAACCCCTCTCCTGTAGACCCCTCCTCTCTGTAGACGCCCCCTGTAGCCCTCTATAGATCCTTTCTCTGTAGACCCCCCCTCTGCAGACCCCGGATACTACTCTCCTCTCTCCCCTGGTGGCTTCTGGGAAATGGCTGGCCCCCCTCCGCGTTTTGGTTTCTTACACACGGGATTCCCGGTCAACGTTTTTTGGCTCTCGCAGAAGCACTGGCCCCCTTTTCGGGCTACCGCTCGTCCCGAATCGTGCTCCAGCTGCAGCGCTGGCCTCATTTCCGCGCTTCCGGCGGTCGTTCCGAATCGTGCTCCCGTTGCAGCTTTGGCGTCATTATTGCCAGCGCCATGCCACGGCATGGATGTCGATCTTTCTATATAGGCCCCAAAACCTAGAAGTGATTACACATTCGGCGTCGATTCGTTCATGTTTTCCGCCGCAGACCCCCCCCACTTTGGGGCGTCGCCACGCCGTGCTATATCAGGCTACGCGTCCTCATTTCCGCGCTTCCGTTTTTTTTTTTCTCATCCTGCTCTCGCTGAAGCGCTAGCCTCATTTTCGGGATACCGCTCGTTCTGAGTCGTGCTCCCGCTGCAGCGCTGGCCTCATTTCCGCGCTTCCGGTCGTTCCGAGTCGTGCTCCCGCTGCAGCGTTGGCGTCATTCTTTCCAGCGCCGTGTCATGGCATGGTTGTCGGTCCTTCCAATAGGCCCGCAAATCTAGAACATCCCCCCCTCGAAAAATCCATCGGAAGTGATTACACAGTCGGGGTCGATTCGTTGATTTTCTGGGCCGCAGAAGCCTCCCCACTTTGGTCATGCTATGTCAGGCTACGCGTCCTCATTTCCGCGCTTCCGCGTTGTTGTTTGTTTGTTTGTTTCGTTTTTCGTTGGCAAATAATTAAAGTAAGACTCTTACAGTTCGCATTAATATTAATATTATTATTATTATTATTAATAATAATATTATTATTACTATTAATATTATTATATTATTATTATGATTATTATTATCATGATGAATACTTTACTTTTTTTGTTTAAACGAGCCGTTTGAATGATTTCTATATTTATGCATTCGCTTATTCATTGATATTCGTGTCTATTGTTTATGGTACGTTTGGAATATATAGTTTTATTTTTAGTATTGCTGAGAAGTATGTTGCTCTTGCTGAAGCGCTAGCCTCATTTTCGGATCACCGCTTGTTCCAAATCGTGTTCCCGCTGCTGCGCTGGCCTCATTTCCGCGCTTCCAGTCGTTCCGAATCGTGCTCCCGCTGCGGCGCTGGCGTCATCATTTTCAGTGCCATGCCACTGCAGGGTTTTCGGTCCTTCCAAATAAGCCCCAACATCTAAAGCATCGCCTCCCGAAGAAACCATCAGAAGTGATTACACATTCGGTGTCTATTCTTTGATGTTGGGCCGCAGAACCCCCCCTCATCTGGGGGCGTCGCCCCGCCATGCTATGTCATGCTGCGCGTTAGATCTTCAACACCATGCTATGCCATGCAATTCTATGCCATGCTGCGACATCCGATTGTGCGTATACGGGGGAGATCTGCGCCATGGTAAGGACTGGGAGGGAGGGGTAGGACGTCAGATATGACGCGAGCGCACCTAGCTTCCCCTCCCCTCCTCTCGGTCTTCCCCTTCCTCCCCTTCTCCTCCTCGTCCTCGTCCTCCTCCTCCTTCTCCTCTTGCTCCTCCAGTTCGTTCGGCCCTGTCAGTTCTGCAAATGGGAACTACTTCGTGGACCCAACTGACAGTCCGTGCTCCTTCTCCTCCTCTTCCTCCTCCTTCTCCTCCTGCAATTCGTCCAGCCCTGCCCCAGACCTCTGACAATGGGGGCCATTTCGTGAACCCAACTGACAGTCCATGCTCCTCCTCCTCCTTTTCTTCTTCCTCCTCCTCCTCCTCCTCTCCGTCTCTCCCCTTCGCCGCCCTGCTGTCACGATATCAAAGGTCGCCAAATTCGGCCCGCGCAGGCGGGGTCAGAAGATCGCGCCGCATCGCCGATGCATTGGCGATGCGGCTCGATCCGGAACCCGATTTTATGCGTCCCGACGTCGCTGATGCATCGCCGATGCGCCAGCGATGCGGTGCGATCCTCCGACCCCATCTGCTCTGGCCCAAGTTGGGCGGCCTCAAATCAACCAGCACAGAGCGCTTCTATCGAGTCCATGACACACCAAGTCAGTCGCTGCGGCGTGGATCAAGGCACAAGCGTGATTGTGAATCACAGTGCCCCCCCCCAGGAAGAGGAGGAGGAGGAGAAGGAGGAGGAGGAGGAGAAAGAGGAGATGGAGGAGGAGGAGGAGAAGAGTGAGGAGAAGGAGGAGGAGGAGGACGATGATGCTGCTGCTGATGATGTTGCTGCTGATGATGCTGCTGCTGATGTTGATGTTCATGATGGTGATGCTGATGGTGATGGTGATGCTGATGATGCTGATGATGGTGATGATGACGGTGATTATGATGATGATGCTGATGATGACGATGATGATGATGATGATGTTGATCATGATCATGATGATGATAATGATGATTAGGATGCTGCTGATGACTGATCACGGTGCTGTTGAGGCGGCTGCTGTTGCTGCTTCTGATGATGATGATGCTGCTCATGATTATGATGATGCTGATGACGATTATCATGATGATGATAATGCTCATGCTGATAATGATGCTGCTGGTGATGATGCTGCTGATGATGCTGATGATGATGATGCTGCATCTCTTGCTGTGTATGGTGATACCGATGATACTGCTGATGATGATGATGATGATGATGATGATGATGGTGATGATGATTATGATGCTGATGGTGCAGAGTTTGCTGCTGCTGATGATGATGATGAGGATGAGGATGATTATTATGCTGTTGCTGCTGTTGATATGAGGATCATGCTGCTGATGGTGACGATGCTGATGCTGATGATGCTGATGATGATGACGATGATGACGATGATGATGATGATGATGATGATGATGATGATGATGATGATGATGCTGATGATGATGATGATGATGATGATGATGATTATTCTGATGATGATAGCGATGATGATGATGCTGATGATGATGATGACGATGGCGATGTCGATGATGATGATGCTGATGCTGCTGCTGATGCCGATGATGATGGTGATGATGATGAGGATGCTGCTCATGATGCTGATGCTGCTAGTGATGATGCTGATGATGATGCTGATGATGATACTGATGATGAGGATGCTGATGACGATGCGGGTGATGATGATGATGATGATGATGATCATGCTGATGACGATGCTGGTGATGATGCTGATGATGCTGATGATGATTCTGCTGCTGCTGATGATGATGCTTCTTATGTAAACGATGCTGGTTCTCCAAATCGGCTTGCCCTAGAGATTGTCCTAGCCCATCAACAGTAATTGGTCTTTAGGACCCCCCTCCCTTCTTTTCCAATGGCACCCCCCTTCTTCCAATGGCCCCCCTTCTCCAATGGCACTTGCTTGCTGGCTCTTGCGTGCTTGCTCTCGCTTGCTTGCTCGTGCTTGCCCTTGCTTGCTTGTTATTGCTCGCTTGCGCTTGCTTGTCTCCGCTTGTTTGCTTACGCTTGCTTTATTTTGCTCCTTTCGTTCTCCTCCTGTCCTGCTCCCGTCCTCCTTTCGTCCTCCTCCCATCCTCCTCTCGTCCTCCTCCTGTCCTCCTATCTATTTGGAGTCAACGCTGGCTGATATGATGATTGTGGTGGTGGTGATGATGAGGAAGAGGAGGACGGGACGCCTGGAAGCATCCGGAGGTCCCCCGAGGCTTCTGGAGGCCCCGCTTCTCCACCATCGATCCTTGCAGAGTAGGTCTCCAGTGGTCTAAAATTCCCCAAACGGGCAGAACCAAGACTTCGTTTTGTCCAGTCTGAAGGAGGCGACCCAACCCTCCGACGGCTCGACACTTTCGAGTCTCGGTGCCGCGGAGCTCTGCACCCCCTTCCCCGCGGCTGTGTTTGGAGTCTTTTGCTATACGCAGTTCGCGGGAGGAGAATCATAACGACACCACCACAAGGGATGCCAGCTCCAACGAGGAGGTCCACGATGCCTACCCGATTTCAGCACAGTGTGTGTCACGATCGGGGAGAGGAACCGCACCACCAGGAGGACACCCCCTGGCCAATTGCACTTGTGGTGGTGGTGGTGGTGTAGCTTCTCTTGTTCCTACTATTTGGCGGTCCCTGGGCCCGAGAGCAACCCGCGGACGCCGAACTTGCAGACAAAAGCTCAGGCATGATATTTCCAGTGTTCTGGAGGTCGGGGGACGGGTCGACGATCGACCCCATGGAGCTGGGGTGGGTTCTGGCCAGAATTTCGAGGCGAATCCAGCGGTGGCGACGGGGTCGCCCAAGGAGGTCCAAACTTGAGTAAAACATGTTTGGTAACTTCGACCTATAATCCTCGATCGAGGGAGGGACACCAGCGACCCCGAGAAAGGACCCGTGTCGTCCAAAACCCAGACCGCCGTGCGCGCACGTGCGCGGGCGTGGATGCACGCCCGTGCACGCCGTGCCGAAGCGATAGTGTGTGTGTGTGTGTGTGTGTGTAATTCTTGACCCACTAAGGGCCGTAGGGTTCCGACCTCCGATGTCGTGTTGCTATTTTTCCGCAACGTGGAGCCCCAGAGGCCTCGACCTACTCCCCGTTGGCGGCTTTTCATCCCGAGTCGGTTCTTGACGGTCCCGAGTCAGTGCTGATTATCTCCCAACGCGAGGGAGTCTGCCTTTCGAGTCATGACTCGGACCTCTGGCGGCCGTTTGGGACGATTCGGGCACCCCTGCAAGGCCTTCAGCGAGGCGCAGACGCTGGAAAGCATCCCGAGGCTGGAGGACCGCTGAAGATCTTCCTCCTCCTCCTCCTCCTTCTCCTCCTCCTCCACCACCTCCTCCTCCTCCTCGACCCTCGGAGCCCCCGAGCCTCCAAGGGACGACTCTCCGCCGGCGCCCGAGCCAGACGGCGAGGTGGCCAGAACGGTGCAGCGGGCGAGGCCGCGCCCGACGGGGGGGGGCTGGCAGCCTGGCGGCCGCGGGCCAGGGCGCGGGAGGTTTGGCTCGCGGGAGGATCCGGGGTGGGGGATCGAGGAGGAGGAGGAGGTGGTGGAGGAGCATCGAGAAGGGGGTCGAGGTGGGGGAGGAGGAGGAGGAGGAGGAGGAAGAGGAAGAGGAGGAGTGAGGAGTGAGAAGCGAGGAGCGAGGAGGAGGAGGAGGAGGAGGTGGAGGAGGAGGAGCGAGGAGTGAGGAGTGAGGAGTGAGGAGTGAGGAATGAGGAGTGAGGAGTGAGGAGTGAGGAGCGAGGAGTGAGGGTGAGAAGCAAGGAGCGAGGAGAGAGGAGGGAGGAGTGAGGAGTGAGGAGCGAGGAGTGAGGACTGAGGAGTGAGGACTGAGGAGTGAGGAGCGAGGAGTGGGGAGTGAGGAGTGAGGAGTGAGGAGCGAGTGAGGAGTGAGGAGTGACGGTGAGGAGTGAGGAGTGAGGAGGAGGAGGCGGAGGAAGCGGCGGAGGAGGAGGAGGAGGAGGAGGAGGAGGAGGAGGAGGAGGGAGGAGGGGTCGGAGGAGGAGGAGGAGGAGGAGGAGGAGGAGTCGGAGTCGGAGGAAGAGGAGGAGGAGGAGGAGGGAGGAGGAGGAGAGGAGGAGGAGGAGGAAGAGGAGCAGGAGAGGAGGGGGTGAGGAGGAGGAGAGGAGCGAGGAGGAGGAGGAGGAGGAGGATGAGTGAGGAGTGAGGAGTGAGGAGTGAGGAGCGAGGAGCGAGGAGCGAAACGGAGGAGTGAGGAATGAGGAGTGAGGAGTGAGGAGCTTGGAGCGAGAACTGAGGAGTGAGGAGTGAGCAGTGAGAAGTGAGGAGTGAGGAGCTTGGAGTGAGGAGTGCGGAGTGAGGGGTGAGGAGTGAAGATTGAGGGGTGAAGAG